GATTGACCCAAGACAGACCCATATCCGAGTTAGATTAAGGTTAGCCCGTGACCCTATAGCGGACTTGTGCTAGATGGCCTGGTCCATCCATCTCCACTAGCGTCACCCAGAAAAAAAAAAAAAAGAATTAGGCCAGTATTTTAACCTACATTTCGATTACCACTCAATGGACGCCACTATGATCATTCTTACAAAAGAGCTTCTAGTTTTGTAGCCTATTCTAGCTCAAAACAAAAGTTTCGTTATACAACGTAGATTCAAAACATTATAAATTGCTATCAGGGGTCATTGATCCTAACGTTGCAGCGATGACGGCTAGCATGGTAGGAGGAATCTCACATCCCTCGGTCTGGTCTGGATTGGTTTCACACGGGCCGTGTAGTTCTAAGGGAAGTGGATTGGGACGATCTAAACTCGTCCCACATTGTTTGTTAAAAATGTGTAAGAAGTGTGTTTAGTAATTGAGAATTTTGAACGTTCATTATAAGACAAGAGCAGTATTATACAAAGTGGTTCCAAGATAAATTTGAAGTAATTAAAGAGATAGTGTTCACCTTTGAGGCATCCAGCACCATTCACATTCAAGAGAAAACATATCTATCATTTTGACATGAGTGAGCCAATAATCCCAGCAATCATAGTAGTTGGATCTCCAAGCACTGCAGAGGCAACAAACTGCACAGCCAAACCAGCCATCTCACAACATTTCTGCACTTTACCCTTACTCTTTTGGTGGTAGGTCTGCAGTGTACCCTTCAAACTTGGAATTCTTGTCCTGAATTCCTTATTATTTCCGCCACACAAATAATCATGCCAGCTCTCCACGAGCATATCCTTCACACATGCCACATCTAAATTGTACTTTTTGCACTCCGACCGGTAGCTCCAACTCCTCCCCGTCCTCCCACAACGATGACATGGGACGCTAACTTTCCGGTACAAATAAAGCTTAACCTCACCATCATCAAGCATCCTAGGGAGCTTTGCACAACATGGATGAAGGTCAAAACCACATGACTTGCAGTGGTAAACGAAACCGGTGACGTCCTTCCCACAAGCGTTGCAGTAGCGTTGGATAGAGCCCGGTGGACGGGCAAGGAGTTGGAAGGAGCATTTGGTGTAGAAAGGGTGAGAGATGGTAGTTGCTGGCAGGGCACAGTGAAGGTGAAGATCATAATCACAAGTGGTGCACTTATAAAGTGAGCCTATACCAACTTCATGGCACCCATCACACTTGAATGGAAATTTTGTATGCTCAAATTTAAGCTTGTGTTGGTGGCTGAAATGGGAGATTTCATTGTATTTCATGGTTATAGATGATAAGCACTGCAAAAGAACTCCAAGGACATATATATAGATAAAGGGGACCCTTAACCATATTGTTAGAGAAGATAGAATATATAAAGTAATTAGAACGCTTTTACCCTAGGTCTAGGGATTCTAATTAGGGTTAGTAATGGCTTGAAGTTGAAGCAAAAGTAGGAATTTATTCTTGTGGATGGTGGCAATAAATGCGTGTACATAAGAAATTAAGACTAGTAAGATGACAAATAAAGCATAGTTCATTACTTAAAAATATTTCCAATCTATATACTATTTGGACATGGGATTTATTTCAATATAAAGTATAAATGATCTGAATTGAGCTGAGTAAGTAATGCACTATTATGACTTGGCTTCTTCATTTGCAAAGTGTATTCGGGATTGTGACGGGATCCAGATATCTTGTTCAAGCTTGACTTGTTTATTACAAAGAGTGTGTGGAATCAGATCGAAATTATGATGAGTTTCAAAAATCTTATTTAAATTTGGCTCATTGATCTCTTTCCAAACTAGAGCTCTGCTTGGCTTAGCTTGTTTGCTTAAGCGATCAAACTTGAACTTATGTTTGAGCTTAAACTCGAGTTGAAATTCAATGATCAAGGACTCTTTTAGAAAGTATATTGGCTATTAACATGCCCTAGATTTATGAATTATGTCAAATTTAGGTACAAAACTCGAGTTTATAACAACATATACTCACCCAAAATTTGGATATTCGATTTGAGAATAAAATTTAGCATCTAGTTTATAATTCAAGATAGAGCATTCTCTGATTTTTAATGCATGTCTATGAGGGGCCAAATTAAGATGTTATATTAATGGAATAAATTCCTTTGGTATTATCTTTTTCTTCATCTTTTGATTGTTCATATGGAAGAACCAATTGTTTCTGATTTCCACTTGATTAAGTAATGCCACCCCATAATGTGGGGTATGTACAATTGTATTTCTTTTGTTGCCAATATGGAATCTGATTCTATATTTTGGTTAAGAGAATCAAGCCAACCATGTATTATTTACTCTCATGTAACAATACAAACTTCATATGAAAGAAATTATTCACAAAGCAAACTTGATGAGAAACTCGGGCTTTGGGCCATCTTGGGATTCAAACTCAGGATGCACGAGCTTGTGTCGTCCCTTATTCGACTATTGAATCAATTCATACGGGTTGAACTGATTTTACATTTTGAATAAACGTTGCTTACGAGTTTTTTTTTTTGNATGATAAGCACTGCAAAAGAACTCCAAGGACATATATATAGATAAAGGGGACCCTTAACCATATTGTTAGAGAAGATAGAATATATAAAGTAATTAGAACGCTTTTACCCTAGGTCTAGGGATTCTAATTAGGGTTAGTAATGGCTTGAAGTTGAAGCAAAAGTAGGAATTTATTCTTGTGGATGGTGGCAATAAATGCGTGTACATAAGAAATTAAGACTAGTAAGATGACAAATAAAGCATAGTTCATTACTTAAAAATATTTCCAATCTATATACTATTTGGACATGGGATTTATTTCAATATAAAGTATAAATGATCTGAATTGAGCTGAGTAAGTAATGCACTATTATGACTTGGCTTCTTCATTTGCAAAGTGTATTCGGGATTGTGACGGAATCCAGATATCTTGTTCAAGCTTGACTTGTTTATTGCAAAGAGTGTGTGGAATCAGATCGAAATTATGATGAGTTTCAAAAATCTTATTTAAATTTGGCTCATTGATCTCTTTCCAAACTAGAGCTCTGCTTGGCTTAGCTTGTTTGCTTAAGCGATCAAACTTGAACTTATGTTTGAGCTTAAACTCGAGTTGAAATTCAATGATCAAGGACTCTTCTAGAAAGTATATTGGCTATTAACATGCCCTAGATTTATGAATTATGTCAAATTTAGGTACAAAACTCGAGTTTATAACAACATATACTCACCCAAAATTTGGATATTCGATTTGAGAATAAAATTTAGCATCTAGTTTATAATTCAAGATAGAGCATTCTCTGATTTTTAATGCATGTCTATGAGGGGCCAAATTAAGATGTTATATTAATGGAATAAATTCCTTTGGTATTATCTTTTTCTTCATCTTTTGATTGTTCATATGGAAGAACCAATTGTTTCTGATTTCCACTTGATTAAGTAATGCCACCCCATAATGTGGGGTATGTACAATTGTATTTCTTTTGTTGCCAATATGGAATCTGATTCTATATTTTGGTTAAGAGAATCAAGCCAACCATGTATTATTTACTCTCATGTAACAATACAAACTTCATATGAAAGAAATTATTCACAAAGCAAACTTGATGAGAAACTCGGGCTTTGGGCCATCTTGGGATTCAAACTCAGGATGCACGAGCTTGTGTCGTCCCTTATTCGACTATTGAATCAATTCATACGGGTTGAACTGATTTTACATTTTGAATAAACGTTGCTTACGAGTTTTTTTTTTTGGCAAATGAGACAAAAGTTAATTAATTCATTAACAACTAGATTTTTGAACTTGTAGACAAACATTTTCCCCTCTCAATTTCACGCACCCAACATATACTTTCTCTCAAAAATTTCATAAACTCTACACATACGCACTCCACAATAGTACAACACACAGTTGCAGACACATACACACACTTATTATATACACGCACCAGCTGTATACATATTTCAATATACGTATAATGTTATAATTCAGTGTATAGTAACTTTAATCAAGAGTATAATTAGTATATATATATATATAGTTGGTTGTGGAGAGTCTTGGTCTTTTAGTCAATATAGTAACCAAAGTTGGACAAGCAAGCATCAAATAAATTTTGGTATCTCAATAATTTCTGGCCTGGATGTTCTTTTTCTCTTTTATCTTTGCTTTTTCTTTTTGTTTCTTTAGTTTGGTTAAAAAAAAAAACACCTGGAATATTGAGAAGTGCAAGCAATTCATTGAATTTTTGTACTTGTAAGCAAGGAGGAGTAAGGGATGAATCAGATTCTTTGTTCTGCTTCTTATATACTCGTTCTCTTTTCAAATACTTTTCTTGTTATAAATGATATATATTTTTGGCAATCAATTGAGGTTAAGTCATGAGAGATCTATCCTCGGTGAATACTCTACTTCTGATATAAACAGTTTATCTTTGACCAAACTAAATAGGGGATTAGTCGAGATATGCATAAACGGATTTGAACACCCCTAACTATTGATCCAAAAACAAAAAGATAGATATTTCTTCCTTTGATTCTCATTTACTTAATTGCAATATTTTACATGTACAACTATTACGATGAAAAATCAACTATAATCACGAAAAAGAACAAATCTTTAAAATGAGTAGAATGAAAAGTGTCCAAAAGAAAAAAAGTCGAAAGAAGTATAGAATAGAACACAAAAAAGAGACTTTAAAAATTAATCGTTTGGCCAAGACGGGGTCATTCAACAAGAGATTCTTGACTATAAAAATTTTGTGTCAATATGAAATAGAATAGAAAATGTTCATAGACTAAAACAACAAAATACAAAAAACGTTGAAATTTAGAATGCCAATAAAAACAAAATAAATCCAAGAATCAGGCGTCCGTGGACCTTCTAACGCCCTGCTCTAAGTTGTAACACTGTCTCGAATATGGATAGGATAACCAGGTTCTAGTCAACAAACAAGCCGCAGCACCTGACTCTGTCTCTCTCTGTCTGTCTGTCTCTCTCTCTCTCTCTCTCTCACACACACACAGAGGTAGCTCAGAGCTCCCTCTATGGCGTTGTTTTCAACAGCAATCAAACGCACTCTCCTCTCAACTCTACCCACCAAACACCACTCTCTCTCCACTGCCTGGTCATCGGCACCACCCTCCGATCAAACCCTAGTCTCAGCCGCAGTCTCCATCCTCAAACACCACCGATCCAAATCCCGGTGGAACCACCTCCGCACTCTCACCCCCACCGCCGGCTTTAGCCCCTCCCAAGTTTCCCAAATCACCCTCCAACTCCGCAACAACCCGCGCCTTGCCCTTCGCTTCTTTCAATTTACCCTCCAACACTCTCTCTGTTCTCATTCTCTCTCCTCCTATGCCACCATCATCCACATTCTCTCTCGTTCGCGCCTCAAATCTCATGCCCAAACCCTTATCCAATCCGCTATTCGTAAATTCCAAGACACCCATTTGTTTGATTCCTCAGACCCGCCTCCAATTTTTGAAACTTTGATCAGAACATATAGAGCTTGTGATTCAGCACCCTTTGTGTTTGAGTTACTAATCAAAGCTTGTTTAGAATCAAAAAGAATTGATCAGTCCATTCAAATTGTTAGAATGTTGAGGTCCAAGGGTATACATCCAAGAATTAGTACTTGCAATTCTTTAATCGAGTCAATTATAAAGATTCAAGGTTGTTATGCTGGATATGATATGTTTAGGGAGGTTTTTGGGCTTGATGGTGAAAGTGGAAATGACAATGGGAGTAGGGTTAAGGGTGTTGTTCCGAATGTGTATACCTTCAGTATAATTATGGTTGGTTTTTATAGAGATGGGTTGGTGGAGGATGTGGAAAAGGTTTGGAGTGAAATGGCGAATATGAACTATGAGCCAAATGCTTATTGTCATAGTGTGTTGATGGAGGCATATTGTGACGATGGGAGGATAGAGGATGCTATGAGCGTGTGGGAAGAAATGGGATTTAAGGGTGTGAAGCATGATGTCGTGTCTTATAATACTATAATTGGCGGGTTTTGTAGGATTGGGGAAATGGGGAGGGCTGAGGAGTTTTTCAGGGAGATGGAGTTGAGTGGTGGGGTGGATGGTACTTGTGTCACTTTTGAGCATCTCATCAATGGATATTGTAAGATTGGGGATGTAGACTCTGCAATTCTCTTGTATAAGGATATGTGTAGGAAAGGTTTTAGGCCGGAGAGTTCAACAATTGATGCTGTGATTAGGGGGCTATGCGATAAGAACAGCGTTTCTGAAGCTCTCGACTTCCTGAGGGTTGCAGTGAAAAAACATGACATTGTTCCAAAGGGGAAGAGCTATGAGGGTCTGATCAAGGGTTTGTGTCTTGAGGGGAGGATGGAAGAAGCATTGAAGCTTCAGCGTGAGATGATAGGAAAAGGGTATGAACCAAACTCAGAGATATATTTTGCTTTTATTGATGGATATACAAAGAAAGGGAATAAGGAGTTGGCTAAAAAGTTGAGGAAGGAAATGCTTGAAACTCGAACTCCTCAGGAAGAGAGTTAGATATAGGTTTTCTTATCTTAGACTATCTCAGTCCTCAAGGGAACTGCATTGTTAGCAGAGTGATGCCTCTGGAAAACCAAAGCGTCTTGTTGAATTGAAGCTGGTCTGTTTCAAACCGAGGTATAGTCTTCATTCTGTGCTTTGGATGGTAACATTTGGGCCGTTATCTAACTATTTCTCTAATATCTGGCCACATCTCCTTGTGGATGCACAGATTGATGATGAAAATCCTCTTTGGAGCAATTTGCCAGCCTCAAATTCCATCTTGCACCAATGTATCTCCTTTATAATGCATTGCAACTCAACCATATGATTCGGACTGCATAGAATTAGCTGTGGTACTGGTACATGTGCTATGAGAGTGACTCAGAATAAACTATATTATCTCCCTTTGGAGATGAAAGATTATGTCAGTTCTATATTCGTGCCACTAGTGGTAATTTATCCTTCTATCTACCTTTTGGTGTGTTTAGTTTAGACAATTCCTTCTTTGACTTGTTCTGTTAATTTTTCGAGTGGTTTGAGTTTGTTTAATGAGTAATGCTAGATTGACCAAAAAAGGGGGTAAAAAACAAGGACCAAATGATGTGGCGCTGATGTTTTGATGCTTTTGGTCCCTCTTTTAGTCATTTAAAATTCAAATTTTATTCACCATATCAGAGCCACAACATTTGATCCTTATTTTTGGTCTCTATTTTTTGGTCAGTATAGCATTACTGTTATTTAATTCTGTTGGAGTAAGCTTTGCAATTGATTCCTTATAAATCTTCATCATAGTCTTGTCCACTATAAGGTTTCCTAGACAGGGTTTAGATATTTTATCAATACGCATTAAACAAGAGATAGATTTTTGTCTCAGGACATAATGCTACCATATGTGTTCATTGTTTGGCAAGATTCATTAAGTTGCTCAATGTTCTAATTGTGTAGGTCTTGAAACTCTAGTCAACCAGGTATTCTTAGAGCTTACGTATCAAGCTCCATGCCATAGAAGCGCATGCATAGGTATTTGATGATTTGTAGATTATGCTTTCAGATAACTTTAGTCTCTCAAATATACTGACAAGTGCATTAGCATACTCACTGCTATGTCTTGGTGCTATGTTGCATTATATTTTTTTGGATCCTAGTGTTCTACCTAAGCATGGCGATCTGTTTTCGCTTAAACTTCTCCCCTCAAAAATATATTTGACGTGTGATTAACGTGCGAAGGTTTTCTGTTTTGTGAGCACATCTTCAAAATTTTCACCAGGCTTGAGACAGATAAAACTTAAAAATGAGATTTTTTTGCAGTTTTCTTCGATTGCAATATGTTCACTGGTAGATAGCTAATTTTTAATGATAATATCAGGTTTGATTTCCACAGGGAATTGTTTTCTGCAAAATGGAAATTGTTAAAGGTTTCTAGAGCATGGCTGGGGAGAGGGAAATTTAAATGTACAGCAGAATGCTATGGTAGTAAATTGGAGGTGTGTGAATTCAGAGGGTGATTCTTAGCCAACATTCAATGGGTGATTTCCTTGTTCCAGCAACTTATTTCTTTCAACTGTATTTCACTGTGGAGTAGAAGTATTGTGATTGCTGTATCTTTTATTTGTTATTGTCGTTATGGAGCTTTAGGGCCTGTTTGGTATGTTTTTTTGGGAGGGGTTTGGATTGGCTTGTCCAAACCCGGGTTTGACCAAAAATGGGATTCAAAGAAGGGATTTAATATTCAATGTTGTCCATACCCATGTTTGGTATGCGCAGAGATATATGACTATTATGATAATATATTTGTATTTAAATGACTATTGTGTCCGTTAACTAATTTAATTCCAACATGGTATGAATATATGGGGGTATAAATGTCATTTGAATGTGAAACCTCCAAACCCACATATGAAACCCACCCTCCCATGGGTTTCATGACCAGGCCATGACCGGGCCGGATTTCAAACCCTAGGCTTAATCCATAGTTACCAAACATGGGTTTAAAGGGGTTTAGTCCCCAACCCCCCCAAACTCACATACCAAACAGCCCCTTAGAGTGATGGCAGTTGTCCTCTATAGTCTTATCTCTCATTCAAATGTTTCAGGTGATGCTGAGGTCAGTAGTGGTGCCTAATGGAGCTGTTCGAGTTCGTGTTGAGTCCTAATGGCAATTACTGAATGGTGCCTAATGGAGCTGTTCAAGTTCGTGTTGGGCCCTAATGGCGACTACTGAAGATGTTTCATGCAAGGCAGGACGCCAGGCTCAAAAATAAATTATACAGGCAGCAGCAGCAGCAGGAACTGTAAAGAATCAGATACCGGTTTTTAAGAAGCTATCAAATACCAGTCAGTATGCAACATCTTTCACTCTGTTTTGGTGCATTTTTTGCTGAGGTGCTCTTTTTTGGGTGATGTCAGCATCTCTATATATTTGAATGAAGGTATTCTGAGAGATGATCAAAGGGGCTGGGTCACAGGCTACTATGGGAGACTTAATGACACAACGAGCCTGCAAACGGAACTCTGGGCCATCTGGAAGGGATTGGAACTCATCCAAAGTAAGGGAATCTGTGATGTTATGGTGGAGACTGATTTATTGGAGGCTGCAAGGCTCCTCTCCCTGGATATTGAGGAAACATATCCAAGCAGATCACTTTTAGTATGCTGCAAAAATCTGATGGCGGATATCCAAATTCCTATCATCCATATCCTCAGAGAAGTAAACCAATGTGCTGACTTGTCTAGTATCGCTTTTACTAGGAACTTACTCTAGTTTTTGTTTTTAACTTTCTGATGTACCCAAAAAAAAAAAAAAACTGCTGTTTGGAGTAATTATATCAGTTTCGTCTTTTTTTTGAATTTCCATGGGCTTCAACATCTTTTTTTTTGGAAGCTATTAGTTTGTGGCTCATGGCCTTTGGTCTTCTCTCTCTTCAATATGTATTGGGTGATGCCAAGAGTAATAGTGGAGCTGTTTGGTGTTATGTATGGTGGACCTGGGTGGTAGGTGTAAGCTGCTCCTCTTTGTCTCTTAGGTTGCATCTTTTTTGTGGAGAGAGAGAGAGAGAGAGAGAGAGAGAGAGAAAATCAAGCAAGAACTGCTCATCAATCACAAAGGTATTAAACATTTTGGATTACTCCTGTCAAAATTTGATCACCATCTATGTACAAAATTCAGATGCAAATCGATCTGTCATTTTGAAAGAAAAAAAAACATATGATTATATGCATATTTGAAGACTACAGAATGAAAATCACAATGAAGGAAGTAGCCAAAGATTGAAAAGAGAGGAAGCCAGAGACAGAAACCATGACAAGAAGGCCATTGCGGCAGAGATCTGATATCTACTACAAAACTTTTGAGGGCAATAAGATTTGTCCGCTCTGAGCAGAATATCCACTACACCAGCTGTTGAGCAGGCTGCAGCTAGTGTGAGAACTGTCAAGACCTGCCATCAAGTACGTGTTTGTTAAAGAGAGAGTCCAGTGCACAAAATTCCAATCACTACGGGGTCTTGGGAATGAATTAAAAAGCAGGACATACCCAATCTCCTACGACGATGATCAGGACTATTCCCGGCTGACGAATAGGACATTTAACAAGGACGGAGTATGCATCGATCAATGCCAAAGTGGAACTCCATGGAATGATCAAACCCATGACTGTTACCAAGAAGCTGTGGAATCAACAAGCACAATGAAAACAATACATAATAGATAAGAAGGGGAATTGAAGCAACTTACATTAAGATCTTAATACGATTTTAGAGCAACCCAATTCAATCCATGAAAAATTGTTTCTTGAATACATTTTCTAAGAACATAAATATATCATGATTCTTAATATTGGTTACAATCCTTCAATTTTAGACACGAGTTTAACCCAATAAAATTTTTTAACTTTGACTAACCTTAACTTCGTATCCGGACGTCATATTCGTAAATATAATACATATTTTCCATGTGAAATTTCATTCTTAAACATTTATTATAATGTTTTATCATTTGGAACACGACCATCCATAGTATTAGTCACATATTTCAAGTTTGGACACTAGTTTAACCCAATAGAAGATGGTTTATCAAGAATTGGTATTCACCACAACAGTAAGATACAGAAGAAGGGGAAAGAAGATTAGAGAACACAATCAGACAAACAAAAATATCACAATTATCTAACTTTTGTATTGACATTGGTAATTGACCCAAAGCAATTTGATTATAATTAAATTTGTGATGACCTTAGAAAGTTCATATTCTTCAGTTATTGATAAACAATTTATTGCACAACACTTAACGAGAGATTCCAAAATCAATGGAATGTCAACGCATCCGGGAAAAAAACAATTAATCTCTATCAATAGACCTACTAAAGAGTAAAGACCCAAACCATAAAGTACTTATTACTGTGTTACATAGAGATATGTTTTTAGATCTTGCATTGAAAACCCTCTTTTTTATTGTAATACATATATGATCAGATGCATATGTAGTTAAGAACCACTTACCAAATTAAGATGCAAACCTATATAAATTCACACACACAAAAATTTATAAATACACATATCTCAGATGCATCAAAATGAGAATGTGATCAAGAATTGAAGAAAAATACCAGAAGGCAGTATAGCTGTAGAACTCAACACCCAGAGACATGAACAGAAGAGAAGCACAAGAGAAGACGGTCTGTCCCAATCTCAGAGCAAAACTGGCACAGGTCCCCACAGACCCTGGTATTTCATCCATGGCCGTACGATCTTGCATGATCTACATCCACTGCTTTTCTGATAATGTTGATGATTGATTCTCCCCTTGTATTAAAATCTCATCGTAGCCTTCAAATCCAATCCTCAACTTAAACCACCCCAAACTCTTCATCAAACCAATCACATATATGGTGCTAATTGTTATGATCCCAACTTTCAAGAATTCCCAAAAATTTCCATGGGTTTCTTGCCTTTTTCTCTTTCTTTTCTGCGTTTTTTCTTTTCATCAAGAATTCCCAAGATTTTCCATGAGTTTCTTGCCTTTTTCTCTCTCTATTTTTCTGGGTTTTTTCTCTTCTGATGTAGAAGGTTGGTGCCAAAGCAACTTATATTGGCAGAAAAACGTGAGAATAACCTTTGTTGAAAATTGAGACTTGTTTCTTCTGACGCTGTTTGTTTCTCGAAAACTCTGTTGGATTGGATCTATCAGGAGAATGAGAATTTTCTGGTGAAAATTCGAACTCGTGGAATGCGTTTTGTTTCCCATGATTGAAAATGAATTTGTGACTATATAACAATAGTTTAATTATGTCAGATTTGACACTCTGATTTTTTTTTTATTATTTTTTTATTTGACATTTGATTTTTTTATTATTTTTTTCCCATTTGAGGGAGAAGCCTATGTCGACAATTGTTTCGCACCACGTTTGTGCACCACTTTAATATAAACAGTTAAATTAATAGATTTTATAAAATTTATTAAATTTTTAATGACTCTAATTATATCGCATCAAATGGTATAAACGAGATAGTATACAAAGATATTATCCATAACATTATTCAAAAAAAGAATCTATACCCGACCACTATTATAAATTTTGTAATTTTTTATACAAATTTTGAAAGTAATTTATAACTTTTATGAGAACTTTTGATCGATGCTCAAAATTGATAGATTGACCCAAAAAAATTATAATTTAAACTTTAAAAAATTATAATTTTTTTTTGGGTTATAAATAACAAAAATTATAAAATTTGGACATACGATATTAAAATCTTGTTGGATACCTAGTCCTTGTCTCAGTTTGAGATGGGTACAATAAACAATATCTATATCATTCACGGCTGTATGTGGACGAGTATGGATATAAAACAGTATCAGTGGGCCAATCTATCACTTTTCCTTTTGCTTCTGCCGACATTGCCATCCATAGTTAAATATATGAAGACTTTAAATCCATTAATTCCAGAGTGACGCAAAATCAACTAAATACGATATGAATCAACAACATCCATTAAATACAATACACATCTCACGAACCCAACATAATGACAATTTGACTATACAAATTATAAAGTAAACAACCATATATTTAAAAAAATTTACAATTTACGAATTCACTAATTTGTTAAAACTATGCTCAAATTTGTTATTCACGTACTAATTTCGTGTTGATTGACAAATGTCTACTAGGAACAACCTTTTTAAAATGAAACATATCAACCGACCACTTGGCACATCCTTGGTCACACAAAAAAAGTCCAAGAGTCACTAGTTTATAAAGATTATTCTGAATGACATAAGTCCTCCCACCTCAACCCTAATGCTATTCTGGCGTAGATGGTCTATGGAATATTACCTGTTTGGATCCCACCATCTTGTTGAGTCCTTCCTTCAAGTATTGTAATGACAATGGGTGCTATCTTCACTAAAACGGTAGGTACTATTAACACTTACAAACTAGACCTTGCTAGAATAACAGTTATCGAGTGCCACATACTAGAAAATATTCATCGTAACAATTACATCACATCAATGTTGCCACGTAATATAATTATCTAATAATAACTCGACAAGAGAATAAAATATACCTTATGTCGTCAAACAATTACACCTCCGTATAAGATAATAACAACCTCGTGTAAAAAATATAAAATTCACCTTACACAATTGTTTATTTATTATTGAGCGGTTACCCCATTATACTGAACATTTACTCGCCATGCACTAAAGTTTGCATTAACACACTTTGAATTCTGCAAATCATGGTTGGTTCTTATGACTATGAGTTGAGAATGAGGATATAGAATATACCTCACACCGAGGGAGTCAAAACTGTTAATATTTACTACATTTAATTGGCGTATTTAATGTTGCAACCAAAAAAAAAGAAGAACCGGAATTTAATTCTCAAGTTGCATGATATCACAAGATATTTACGCTGTCACTACTACATGCTAGCTCCACAATTTTCAGGGTTCACTAGATAAAGCAGTTCGGGTAAAGAGATAAATAA